AAAGAGTTTGTCCGAAGCCATCACCTATCCCCAATGCCTCCTAATGTAGAATCATCAAATTTGCAGATGACACCAAATCGGAAGGGGGGCAGTTGACATGCTTGAAGGCAGGGCTGCTGTTCAGAGGGACTGTATGAGATCCAGTAAGGTCAAATGCCAGTTCCTGTCCCTGAGAAGGAGGAATTGCTGGCAGACATCAGGGTGGGGCCTGATGGGTTTGGGAGCACCTCTGCTGAACAGGACCTGTGGGTCCTGGTAGACAGCAAGCTGAACATGAGCCAGTCGTGTACCCTGGCATCAAACACAGCCAACAGCATGCTGGGCTGCATTAACAACCTGCATGTTGAGAGAAGTGATAATCCTCTTTTACCTGGCACTCGTTAGTCCACATCCAGAATACAGCATCCCATTTTGAGTCCACCAGCAAAAGAAAGACTGATAAACTGGAGCAAGTTCTGTGGTTGTGGGAGCTGGAGCATGTGCCCTGTGAGGAGATGCTGAGGGAGGTGGGCTTGTTCAGCCTGGAGGAGAGACAGCTTTGGGGGGACCTTCCAATACACACAAGGAAGTTATCCAGAAGACAGAGCAAGGCTCTTCACAGTGGTGCCTGGCGGGGAGGACAGGAGAGAGAAGACGGGACTTGAAAAGAAAGTTTCAGGCTGGGTATAAGGAAAATTTTTGTCACTATAAGGGCAGTCAAGCAGTGAAGCACGTTGCTCATGAGGTTGTGCAGTCTCTGTCCTTGGAGGTTTTCAAGACCCAACTGGGCAAAGCCTAGAACAGCCTGGTCTGACCCCAGAGGTAGCCCTGCTTTGAGCCAGAGACTGTAGTAAAGACCTGCTGAGGTCCCTCCCAGCCCAAGTGGCTCTAAAATTCTGACCTAGGACAAAGCTTGGAGCCAAAACTTAACTTATTTTGTCCTTATTTTTTGGTACATGGTTATGAGCAAATTGTTAGCCTTTTTAGTGCATCAGTTACCTGTCTATAAAGTGGAGGTAATGCTACTTGTCTACCTCAGTGATGTTTCAAGGTAAGATATATGAAAGGCTATGATATTTTGGATGCTTTGGCAAAGTAGATATAGACAACAAAGCAGTTAGGCGTTTAAAGTCTGCCTAAGAAGCTGATAGAGAAGTATTGTTCATCTTCTCAAGTGCTAACTGTGAAGTCTTGGGAAGCTGTTTTCTGTGGGTTTACTTTCATGAAACTCCACCATACATATTTTCTCTGTGTGCTGCCAAAGAAGTCGATCACCTTAAAAGGTAGTCAGCTGCAAAATATGTTAGTGTTAGCAACGGCTCTGTCAGCAGGCTCTCTATATGCTTCTGCCAATTATGGTAACATTTGTCATATTTTCCTAGTTAATATTTTTCTTCCTGCTATGGTCGTTGTTTCTGTGGGCTTCTCGACAGAGGGGAAGCAGACTTAGCTGCCTTTATATCAGGAGCACTGTACCCAGTTCTGCCCTGTGCGTCAAATGTACAGCTAATTGATGGATAAATTGAGAAGTCTTTTTTTTTTTTTTCCCCCCCTCCCACCTTTCAGTTTTGGTGATCTTTAGTAAGAGATTTGCAAAACTGTCCTACAGTTTTCACACATAAATAAGGAATTGACCTCTTTTAGAAAGAGGTTGGAAGAGTTACAGAAAATTACTTTAATTTTGTGGCATTTCAACTTAAAAAGCGTCTTTGAGGTAGCATTAGAATAGGCAGGGGTGTATACATAGAAGTTTTACGAAATCTTGGGAACTTGAGATGTAGAATATTCTCTAATACCTTTTTTTAACTGTTTCTTCTTTTTCTTCTCCCTGTTTACCTGCCTTTTCTTCTGCAGGAAATAAAGAAGGACATGAAGAAAGAAAATACTGCCAACAAACCACCAGAGAAGCCTATAAATGAAGTTTCCAATGGAAGCCCTTTACTGTTGTCTGAGACAATTATTAGAACCAACAAAAAAGGTATAGTATATGGAAGCTTAAATGCAGATTAAATTCAGACCTTTAAAAGAACAAAATGTAAACCTTCCTTGTTTCTAGAAATAAAGCTACAGTCTATTTAACTATAAAGGCATAGCAGGAATAATAAAAAAAAAAGTCTCATTGTCCTCTTAGTCTGGCATATGGACACATGTATTATGTCTAATATTTCCACATTAATTTGCACAGACATCCCTTTCTTCTTAAAGAAATCCTTCCTAGATATATTTAATTAAGGAAAGCTGTATGAGGAGATTACTAAAGCTTATTAAAGTAAGGAACTGACAGCTTGTGTATATGGAGGTTTTTGCACAGTGATGACAGTCTACATTCACGTATTCATGTTCTATCTAGGGCAGAGACCGGTTACTGACAGAGAACTTTGGGGGAAAAAAAAAAAAAGAAAGAAAGTGGAAAACATAAAGTTTAACGCATTGGTTTCCTGGGAAGTGTCTATCACTGTCTTCTGTTTCAGACTGGAATGTGTGCTCTTCATGTCTGGCTTGACACCCAATGCAGATTCCTATGTAGCATTTTGAGTTGCTAAAATGAAAGCCTCCTTTTTTTAGCTCCCAGTCCTGCTCTCAGAAATATCACAACAAAACAAAAAATTGGCAGTGTAAAAGATGGATTTTTCTTTAGGTTATGTTTATGCTCCCATTCGTTTGTGGGAGGAATATTGGCTGTGTGCAAATGATGGGCTGTATTTTTTCCTGGAGAATTCACTGGACGGTTTCTTGCTTGCTGTCTTATATAGAGTAATCTGCTGTCATTAATCGTTACTGTAATGTAGTTTCCATTTTGGCATGTCTTCTATACTGTTAGGACTATGCATATGTAAATTTCCTCTTCCATATTATCAGCGAATATTGTATTTGAGCTGGCAGTTTGACTAGAGGTCTTAAACCTAAGGTTTGCAACTGCAAATGAGGAAGATTTAATAATTTCTGCAAAATGTATGACTTCCTTTAAAATGTGAGGGGGAGTAATCTCTACCTCTTTTGCAAGGAGTGATGTCCTCTGAAAGAAAAAATTGGAAATAAATCACAGAAGGCTTTGTCTTTTGAGTTTGCAATGTCATCTTGAATCTGGAGACACGTCCAACATTTCTGCTTTGGGTCATAGGTTTTTCAAGCAACAGCAGAATTAAATTACCAAGAATTATTCTTTTTCATGGCTGCTATACAGAACCATATGAGTAGTTGGGAAATTATCTAGGGACCAAGTCTATTCCATATTGCTTCAGCTGCTATTTGGAGAAGGCTAATAGCTGTGGCAGATGCAGAGATTCCGTTCAGTCACAAGGGGATAGCACTCCAAATATGATACTTAGAGCATAGGCTTTCTCCTCTTCTTCCTTCCCTCTGGCTCAGAAGCTTTAAAGGATTCAGGAGATAAAGAAGTTCTTTTTCTGTCTGTAGCTGGAGAATACAAAACTTCATATTTATTGAAAGGAGAGAAGCAAAGAGTGACACGAAGATCTGTAGCTTGAGGAAGGGGTTAGGTTTGGAAATAGCAGATTTCGTATTAGGATGTTATTGCATTGGATTTCGTTGGTCGGGATTGCACTTCTCATGGCTACCTCTACATAGTGTCAGGGTTAGTAAATTTTTCATTTTGGCTGCTTCTCCACAGCTGTTTCCATTGCTGCAGAGTAAGCAGTTGCAGCATGCCGTACTTTAGCAGTACAGCTAAGGATGCATAGAGCATAACAAGGCCAAGAGAGCTTCCCCTCTTTTTTTCTGGGGTCAGTTTGAGCATGGTGCCAAAGTAGCCTTGTTTAAGTGAGGACAGCTAAGCAAGTAGTTACTATTGTGTTCAGTAATAGTCTTCTAAGAGCTATGTGGCAAATCTCCTTGTGGAAACTGTTGCTATATTTTACTGAAGAGGGAGCCCTAAATGCCACAGGAATTATTTTCTTCAAGTGTTCTTGTGCTGTGATTTTTATTAAACCCTACTTCAGTCTGTTTACTGATCACGGAACGTGACCTGACCTGAAAGAGGGTACTTTTTTTTTTCTTTTCTCCTTGTTGTTAGGAAGTGAGGAGGAGAGGGATGCATCTAAAGGTCTTTAGCCACTGTTCAGCAGTGAAAATAGTAGGCAGTATTACTTATTTGCTTGGGCAATGTAATCTTGCTGCTTGGAACTTCAGAGCAGATCCAGTGATGTGGGATTGAAGCATTCTGTGCTGGTGCATTGTTTCTATTACTAAGATGATGATAAGTGCTTTTCTACTGCTGTGGTGTTATGTTGCGTATTTTTACTACTTAACTTGGTTGGCCTAATTTACGTGGCAGCACTTTAGCAGGCATTTACATTTTGAGCAGAAGACTCTTGGCTTCTTGGGCTTCTGGCTTGTAGAAAGTTTTTCCTTGAGGAATATTGACGAGTGTCCAACAGTGGTATTTAAGGAAAATAGCTAAAGTATTTGTAAGAAGCATCTAAGTAGCTAAGAGGAAAAGAATGGATTTCTGAACAAAAAAGTTATTTAGGATCCAACTTTGTATCTTGTTTGTTCATGGTAATTATTTCTAAGCACTGTATTGAAATCAGGGGTTCTTGTAATAAAATCAGTGTAAATTGAAATGCCTCTTGTAAAGGCTTATTTCATCAAATGGACGTTACTACTTTGGATTATAGATGTAACGTAGGAACAATTTAAAGTGGGTGTAACGCCACCGGTAGTAGCCTACCTGGGTTAGTACTTCCATTACATAGTGAGGGTGGCAACTGATTGTGGTGTTATTAGTTTTACTTCACCATCTGTGAATCATTCAGGTTTTTGTTATAAAGACCAGGAGAAGATGGAAGAATTTGATTTTGTCTGCTTTTCACTGGGGGCAGTAAAACCGGAACATTTCTCATCCTTTAATGTTTCTTGCTGACTGCAAATACTAGTGACCTAATGGAAACAAACGGTAGAAATGACTGCTGTGGTGGATATAATTTAGGAAACTCTGTTAAACTTGGCCTTGATGTATTTGCGAGAGTTAATATTTGTAGGTATTTTCTTTCTTTGCAGGGTTGTAAGTATGATCTAGAAGTTAGGGCTACACCTAAGAAATAATGGGTTTATTTTCTAGGTCTGCCACAGACTTGCTGTATAGCTTTTGCTAAATCACTTAAACTCTGTCAGCCAAATTACCACACTTTAATTTCCAAGGTTAGGTATCTTAATATGTATGGGTTTTTCAGATAGGCAGAGGGTTTTTTTCTGATTTATTGCAGTGGCATATCCAAATTTATTCATAACTTCCAGGTATTTCGTGTGTCTCTGCCTCAGGCTGCCTATTGGCAAAACCTGGGTTTATACCTGCCTCATAAAGATGTTGAGATCTGTTCTAGCATGGTAGCAGTGGCAATTAACATCTAGGAAACTGAGCATTTTAATATAGTATTCCAGTGAGTTCATGCTTCAGCTCTGAAAGGCTCAAAAAAGGACCATTTGCTCAAGTGTAGAGATGGGGTTAGGGAAACATAAAGTCCTTGTGCTTTCCCTGACAGTTCCCAGGGCTGCAGCAGCTCTAGGCTGGTTTTGATGGGTGCTTCAGGTACTGCATTATCAGCACCGGTCTAGGGAAAAAGGCCGTGGTACTGAAAGACGTGTCTGAAGCTGTGTGAATGTCAGCTGTGGTTGGCTTGCATATCCTTTGCCAGAACCTGGGAGGGATCATTCTTTTGCTTCTTCCTACAGCTCATATGCCAAGAAAATCCTTTCCTTGCCAGGTGTGGGTCTTTTAGTATATCTTTTCACTGCTCCAGAATTTTTGGTTGGCATACAGAACTATTGTTCTAAAACTTCTGTAAAGCTGACTTAAAAAAAAATAAATCCTTTTTTTCTGTTTAGAATTGACATTGTTGCACCCTGGTAATAACAGATTGGGAGAGCCTTTTCTTCCCTGAGAACATTTTCAGATTGTTTGAAAAAAGCAAAATTATTGCTATTGTTACTATTATTTAATAACGTAAGAAAATTACAGTCAGATCTTGGAACAGGAATACGCTGAAAGATTTTTTTTTTTTTTTAAATGCTTTCCCAACATGGTGAAATTCCATCTTTTCTAAGTTAACTTTCAAAATCTAAAAACAGATCCAAAGTTGTGCAACTGTGTCAGATCTGTCATAAATTCAGTATGATCTTCATCCAGGTATAAAGAGTCATAATGGAAACTTGCATGCAATGAGCTTAACTGTTAAATGGCTATGGCTTATTTTGGGATAGTTTTGTTCTGATTTTTGAGTATTCTATTTTTAAGTATCCTATTCATTGCACCGTGTTGTGTATTTGGGACTAGGAGCCCACTTGCATAGGCCAAATTGCAAAACTGGAGTTGATAGGCTGTATTTTGTAAGTAAACTAACAACAATTGTTATACAAGTAAACAGATTTCAGGAAAAGATATATTGCCTTGCTAGATGTATTTGTTTTATATAAACTGTAAATGCAGTCTGCATTGAAGTTATTCAAGCCAGCAAATCTGGAACAGCTCATTGTGTGTTACATGCTCTTAATCAGAGCCAAACACTGAAAGCAAGGAAATGTTTTTTCTAGTTCTCTTGAGAATTATTTATTTTACCTTCTACCCTACGTTTAAATAATAAAGAGAATTTGCATTCTATCCAAAAAGGGAAAGTTTTGTGAAAGTAGGTTTGATGATATAATAGGTTTATGTTATGAATAAATAACAAGTCTGTTGTATGCAAAACTGAGATTTAAGTCTATTTTTGTAAATTAAAGAAATGGGAAAAGTATTTTACAAGAAAAATGCTTCACCATTTGGTTCAATAGTTTTGTGATTATTTGGATACAAAAAGACACCTGTTGTGGTTTAACCTGGCAGGCAGCTAAACACCACACAGCCGCTCGCTCACTCCCCTGCAATGGGACAGGGGAGAGAATCGGGAAAAAAAAGGTCAAACTCGCGTGTTGAGATAAAGACAATTTAATAGGACAGAAAAGGAAGCGAAAATAATAATAATG